TTACGGCTTTAGGGTTTAGGGTTTTAGGGTTTAGGGTTTAGAGTTTAGGCTTTAGGGTTTAGGGTTTAGGGTTTAGGGGTTTGGGTTTAGGGTTTAGGATTTGAGCAAGTTTCGTCACGTCGCCATTGGCGCCCTCCACCTGACGCCCCCAGGCGCACTCTGAAAGGATGCCTTGCAACTTGCGGCTTCAGGTACTGTAGGGGTTTTATGGTTTAGGGTTTAGGGTTTAGGGTTTAGGGTTAGGGGCCTTAATACCTTGAATAGGGTTCCTTTAAGGGTTCCTTTAAAAGGGTTACTATGAAAGGGTATTATAAGGGTGTAATGTAGGGGCCTCAATAATTAGAATAGGGCGTTGGGGGATATGAGACTATACTTCTAATAAGAAACCACCAAAATAGTATTGGTCAGTCTTTAGGCTTCTGTATTACCTAGAGTCTCCATTGTAGGTCCTGTTTTGGGGTTTAACCAGTTTTATATTAAGGATCCTAAAAGGTAAACCCAAAAAGGAACTATAATGGAGACTATAGGTACAGCTCTATGGAATTCAGGATTTTAGGGTTTTGGGGTTTTGCGGTTTGGGAAGCCCTAAACCCTAAAACCCTAAACCCTAAACCTGGGGTTTAACGTTTAGGGGTTTCGGTGGATTTCAGGGGGATTTCCTGGGGTCTGGCGGCTGTAAACAGGCTGGGGGAATTCTATAGGGTTTAGGATTTAGGGTTTAGGGTTTAGGATTTAAGGTTTAGGGTTTAGGGTTTAGGATTTATGGTTTAGGGTTTAGGGTTTAAGGCTTAGGCGTGGATAAGGCACAGGGTGTGTGAGGATTTGCGGTTTAGCGTCACGGCATTGGGCGTCGGATCAGGAGGTTCGCGATTCCCAGGATGCTTCAAGATATCTGTGCTGCTGGAGGGTCTATAGTTAGGGTGTACGGTTTAGGGTTTAGGATAGGTGCGGCTCGCACCCAGTGACAGACCATAACAGGAGGTGCAAATGAGTGGGGCAGAACCATCCGATTTATGCGTTTATACAACAATCACCATCCACCTGTGCATGAGTGGAGCAAAACCCAAACTATAGTCCTGCATGAAAGCTTCGGTTTGGAATTGTGGTTCTGGCCCAAGCCGGTTGACTGGAGGATCGAGGGACGTGGCACGTGGGGGGACCATGAGAAAAGCTAAACTTAAGGTAATCCGGCACCTGTAGCCGTGCGCCCCAACGATCACAGAGCTACTGCTGATGATATAAATCCTACATTACCTTCAGGACCCTAAACTATGGGAATTATGGCAATATTCCTTATGATGGGTAATGCAGGATTTATGTCATCAACTGTACCTCTCCCAATCCTTGAAGCAGGTGGCTTATATAAGCACCGGGGAGAGTAGGCGGTTCTGGGCGCGGGAATAAACCCCAACGGCTTACGGCTTAGGGTGCAAAGGGGTTTAGGGTTTAGGGTTTAGGGTTTTTAGGGAAGTGCTGAACACGTTCCACTGGCTCAAACAAAATCTAGGGTCTCAAGCGGTGTAAATCTTGGCGCCTAAAGGGGGGTTCGCTTGAAGGCTCAAGCCCCGGTATCGGGTACTTTTCAAGAATCAGAAGGGTATATTTCAGAGTTCCTTCATTCCCCAAGACCCCCTAAACCCTAAACCCTAAACCCTAAACCCTAAACCCTAAACCTGTTACTGTTCTAATTGTTAATTATTTGAACTCTGCACAAGTTGCCGTTCTGTGAGGCTCCCCCATTCTGACTTAAGTGTATTTCTCGTGAGAATTTAAGTCGTTTGTGGATTCTGGTACACCGGGTTTAGGGTTTGGGTTTAGGGTTTAGGGAACCTCCTTACAGAAAACGCAGACAAGTGAGCCCACGTGCAAAGAAGCTGCCATTCAGCACGTCGCCAGGCGGAATGTTCTGAATGGTATCCTTAGGGACAAGCTTCCAAATCCAGAACTTCAACTACAAGTGCCTTAAATCTGAGTGTCAGCTTGGGGATAACAAATCCTAAACTCTAAACCCTACACCCAAAACCCTAAATCCTGATACCCTAAGAAGCCTTCACCAACTGAAACCCCAAACACTAAACCCTAAACCCCTTGCCCCCTCGGCAGATTGTCTGGGCTTCAGTGTTCAGAGTTTTCTGGTTTAGGGTTTAGGGTTCAGGGTTCAGGATTCAGGGTTTAGGCTTTAGGGTTTAGGGCTGAGGGTTTAGAGTTTCGGGTTTAGGGTTCAGGATTTAAGATTGATGTCCTACCTTCTGCGTCTTCTTCTGCATGTGTCTCTCATGGTTTTCGGATAGCAGGCAAGAAGCCTAAAGCCTAAACCCCATAAATCGGATAAGCCGTAGGAGATGTAAGAACATTAAGCCCCGGGCTCTGAAAATCGTCTTCCTCCCAAAGTGTTCACACAACTTGTTTCGAACTTTCGGGCGACCCTTATAGGATCCTACGTTTGAGGGTCCATACTACTCGCGCCCATGCCAAACTCGAGGCAAATGTGACCTCAACTTTGCATGTCTTTGAGAGTTCCGGGTTGCGGCCTAAGCCCACAGAACCCAAACCCGGAACTGCTGGAGCCCAGCAGCCATTTACTTCGCTGTAACATGCCCACGTCAACACCTTCGGAACGAAACCAAGAAATGCTAAGTCTGGTAACCCCTGGACCCATGTCAGGCAGGCCGCCAGCATCACGATGGTTTTGTTCACATCGAAGTGAAGCACTAAATGGCTTTGAACGGCTCTCTCCGCGCCTGCATCCACCAGTGATTTTCGAGTCTGCTTCTACATATGGGTTTAGGGTTTAGGGTTTGGGGTTTGGGGATAACCAACCCTTGATTGTAGACCCATAAAGGCCTCCACTTCCTAGAAAGTGTGGCAAATATGGGTTCTAACAGGCAGCCCTGGCCTTCGAACGCTGCACAAAACCCTTTAAAGGAACCTTTGGAGGGACCCTACAAGAAACCTTCCATGGGTCCCAAAAAAGGTACGCTTGAAGGAACCCTTAAACGAATCGACATTGGAGCTTTCTGGCCCTGCGAACTCAAGACTAAATGATCCCGAAGTGCCTAAACCCTAAACCCGAAATGCTAAACCTTTGAGCCCTAAACCCTAAATCCTAGACCCTATAAACCCTAAACCCTAAACCTAATTTTCTAGTATGCCATGCTTGGTATCTGGAAGGCTTTAGGGTCAAGGCTTAGGTATATTTGCAGGCTATGGGCTTCAGGCGGCTTAAGACTTTAGTTCCACTTCAAGCCCTGAACCCGAAAGCCTAAACCCACCTCAAACCCGACATCCACTTTAAACTCTAAACCAAAATAATCCTAAACCCTGAATCCACTTTAAACCCTAAACCCTAAACCCCAAATCCACTTTAAGTTTCACCGCTGACATCTTCGGTCTCATGAAACCTTCCCGAGACCTTGAACGGCCTACGATATGAGGGCCTTAAGATATTGAAGACTGGAATAAGGCTCTGGGAGATCCTGCACCGTGACTAAATACAACATATACAAACTATAAGAGAATAAGACTACTGAGTACCTGTATCTTATAGATCGAGGTTTGCAAGGGTAGGGCAAGAACCTTAAACCCAAGGTGAAGTGCTGGGCTCGTGGCTGCAATGCCGATGGAGCGCAACTCCCTGTCCAAATGTTGCAATTATCTCGCTGTGCAAAATCCCAACGCAACTTCTGTTGCTTGCGCCCCGCACCCGTACCCGTTTTCAAACCCTGAAGATCCATTCCCCTGACCCATAGAGCGTGATACCCCTTTTTGAAGGAACCTTCCTTTCGGCACATAGGGAGAATTGGGCTCTCTGGGTATGACCCATACTGCCGTGGACTAAACCCGAAGCCGCACATGTGCAAGCCCTGAGCGTTGCTCTGGGATCTGGGTATAAAGGTTCGAGCTACTGTCAAAAGCACGAGCAATTGAAAAGGAACCCTGCTTCTCAGAAAAACTAATAACGACCTAAACCCTAAACGGGTAGTTCTCTAAATTAGGATCCCTTTCAGGGTCCTTGTTATAAGGGTGCAGTACTATTTTGGGGCCCTAAAAAGGGACCCTAAGATAGAGAACTACCCAAACACTAAACCCTAGAAACCCTAAACGCTAAACCCCAAACCCTGAACCATGGAACCCCATGTCCTGAATTAGGTGCCCTACTGATTATCCCACATCGACCGTAACTCGTCTTGAGTTTGAGGCTGGCTGGGTTTTGGTGGTTTTTGAAGCCGTGGGCTTCCTTGAAGGGGTTTCTACTTGCTGGCCCCCTATGCACTTATGAAACTGCTATGAGGAGGTTTGTCTCTTCATTCCTGCACACTACCATACGAGGTTCTCGTCTAAAAGCAACCCTGTCACCTGGGTGTAGGCTTTGTGGGTTAGTGCTTGTGTGGATGTTGCAACTCCGCATCCTACTCAAAGCCGTTGTTCGAGGCTCTGTCTAACCTTTAGACATAGAAGCCGCGGTAGACCCAAACCCCAAAATCCTCAACCACCAACTTTAAACCCGATAAATCTAAAACCGGATAGCCGCTAACCCCTGAACCCTAAACCCTGAATCCCTCAATGACCCTGCAATCCTGAGAATAGGAATAAGAGCAAAACAGCTCTACAATAATCGGCTGAGCTGCCGTCGTCGACGTTCTTGGTCGGCCACCGAAGCAGGTGCCTGGGCCGTAAACCTGAACCCGAAACCCTACACCCCTAAAGCCTAAAACCCTAAACCCTGAACCCTAAACCCTCAACCCTCAACCCTCAAACCTAAAGCCTAAACCCTAAACCCCAAACCCTCAACCCCAAACCCTCAACCCTATACCCTCAACTCGGACCTTCTCAAAGCCCCAGACCCCCAACCACAAGTCCCAAACCCCTAAAGCCCAAATATCCCACGAAGCCCTAAAAAGGGTTTAGGGTTTAGGGTTTAGGGTTTAGGGTTTAGGGTTTAGGCCCTAAAAACCCTAAAAACCCATAAACCCTAAAACCGAAGCCCTAGAAACCCTGGACCCTAAGCCCTAAAACCCAAATAACCCTAGAAGGCCTAAAAGCCTCTAACCATCTACTCTACGGAACCCTAGAACCCTTAAGCCCTTAAAAAACCCTACGTAAACCCCCCAACTACCCTAAACCCGAAAAACCGCCAAAACACTAAAACCCCTAAAACCCCTAAAACCCCTAAAACCCCTAAAACCCCTAAAACCCTAAACCCCTAAACCCCTAAAACCCTAAAACCCTAAAATCCTAAAAACCTCGACGGCCAGGTACACAGTTGAAGCTCCGCGGAAGGACCGTTTCCCATGGCATCAGAGGATGGAGCCCAAGTCAGGGGCTTTTTAAGGCTTAGGGCTTTTAGGGTTTAGGGTTTAGGGTTTAGGGCTTAGGGCTTGTAGGGTTTAGGGTTTAGGGCTTGTAGGGTTTAGGGTTTTGGGGTCTAGGGTGAGGGTTTCCGTTAAACGGGTTCTAGAAGGGATACCAAAAGCGAACGGCCTTAAGAAGTAGAAGAGGAAAATTTGAAACGACTTAACGCTGATAGGGCTTACGGTTTAGGGTCTAGGGTTGAAGGTTTAGGGAGGGCGCATGAAGATTTAAGATCAAGGTTTCGGCATTGGCGATGTTGGCATCCAACACTCCTATGGTAAGGCTGAAAACGCACGAAAACGCCATAAATCCTAAGAGCACTTTCTTCCCCCAATCCGATAGCCCCAAAGCCCAAAGAAGGCAGCAAACGACGGGGTGCCATTGGAGGCCTGAGCCGACGAAAGGACCAGCGAAATAAAGACTTCTGCCGCCTTTGCACGACTAGATTTTGGAAACAAACATACATACCTGATGTCTATACACAGACAAGTATGTAAGTATATAGTATCTAAACCCTGAACCCTAAACCCCTAAAACGCAATATTGGCATTCTATACATTAGGGTGCAAGATGCTTTTTGACATGACATATATGCGGGCTCGAAATTAACTCGCTGCATGGGCTTGTTACATGGTCTCCTATGCGCCAGGGATCCCTAAAACCTAAACCGAGCCCTAAGCCTTAAACCCTAAACCCTAAACCTAAAGCCCTAAACCCGAAACCCTAAACCGATTCTGAGCTTGGGGCTGGGGTTTCAAAAGAGTTCGGATGCAGGGCGCCGGTTTCGGGTTTTACTGTCTAGAGTCTCGAGCGTGTATGCTTTTCTGTAGGGTTGGGGGGGGGGGGGGGGNNCAGAGACTCCAATATCCCTTCATAAAGGGATATATATATATACACACACACCTTAAATTATAGTAGGATCCCCTATATGATTAAAGGTATATTCATTAAATAGGGGATATTGGAGTCTCTGGGTATCCTAAACCCTAAACCCGGGTTACAGCGTTGGCTGGAAGATCTCGCAAGTGCGATTCGTCCTGGAGGGGCCCAAGGTTCAGGTTGTGGGAGGGCTTAGGGTTTAGGGTTTAGGGTTTAGCATATCATAAACACTAAACCCCTAAATCCTAAATCCTGAACCCTAAACCCCACCCCCCTCAACAAATTAGTCGCCTAGTTGAAACTCCCAACACAGGGTTGCGGCTCGCGCGAAGGATTTCCCATAGTCCTTCTATGCATGCACGACCTTATGCCCGCCCCTTCCTCCGCTTGCAAAGACAAACCGGGACGAACTGCGAAGTCCGAGACGATGAACCGTAAAACTCTGCAATGTAGGGGCCTTAAAAAATAGAACAGGGTTTCGGGGTATGTTATACTATACGTATAATAAGGAACCCCCAAAATAGTACAGGTAATTATTGAAGCCTCTACATTAGTCTACCCTAAACCCTAAACCCTAAACCCTAAACCCTAAACCCTAAAGCCTAAACCCTGCGTACAAGGCTTCGCAAGGCCCGCTGTTCTCGGGTTGCACGTGGCGGGTCTTCGGGTGCAGGGCTCGGGGTTTTCTCAAGGGGTTTCAGATTCAGGGCGAGAGTGGGGCTTGGGGTTTAGGGTTTAGGGTTTGGGGCGAAATGGTTTAGGGTTTAGGGTAAGGGTCTAGGTTTAGGGTTTAGGGTTTAGGGTTTGGGGTTTAGGGTTTAGGGTTTGGGGTTTAGGGTTTAGGGCGAAATGGTTTAGGGTTTCTTGACCCCTCTAAGCCATGTTCAGCCGGTATTTTGCAACTCCCTTTTTAGTCAACACTGCACGGACCGGCCGATGCACTTCGGAAAAGGGATCTTGCATGCGATTGCAACCAAAAAAACACCCTGAACCCCAAAAAAACTGAACATTAAACCCTCATGTCCTATAGACCCCTTATAGAACCATGATAGGAACACCCCTTATGAACTAGTGTAGGATCCTTTGTTGCACCCTTATCGGGACCCTGAGCACCCAGAGCTAGAAGAAAGCAGCGCGCGTTGCGGGATGCGTCCACAGCCATGAGCCATGAACGTGTCAATCGCGCCGGCGAGCGTCCTGTTGTGGAAAGCGGACATACGAACAAGCCGGGTTTAGGGATTAGGGTTTAGGGCATACGAACCAGCCCCGTAAGCGGATCCTGAACCAACCCAAAGCCTGTCATAGGGCGGGTGGGAACTCTAAAGACTGCAAGGAGTGTAGGGAGGAAGGCTGAGCTTGGCACATGTTGTTGTCCTCCGTGGCATCCACGGACGAATCCGAGGCCCCACTAACTACGCCCCAAAACACAAGGATAGCAAAACTTTATAGACCTTATTAGCAGCACCTTCCAGCAGGTCTCTCAAATAGGGTCCCTTGTAGAATCCTTTTTATAAGGCTGCCGGTCTATATTCGGGATCTAAAAGGGACCCTAATTTATAGAACTACCCATATAGAACCCTTATAGAGACCCTCTAGAGACCCTTACAGATCTCTTTAAGGAACCCTANNCTAGAAAGGGGCCCTAATGTAGAGAAGTACTCACATCTAGCCTGTTGTCAAACATGGCCCTGCTTCACCCTAGACTCAACAAAGAAGGGAGTTGGGGCAAGCTTAGGGTTTGGGGTCGGGTCGGAAACCCAAAACCCCAAACCTAAGTTCAGGGTTTAGGCATGGTTTTCTGTCTATTTCAGAAACTTTGCGTCGGACTGTAGGTTAAGAGGTATTGTTACCATGAATCTTCAGACTTCTACAAGAACCCTAAACCATCAACAGCTCAGCACCACCGACCTTTAGAAGCCAGAACAACGAAATCATAGCCCTATCTTTATTGTAATTACAAGCCTCCCTCCCCCCCCCC